CCTCCCTCCCTCCGTAGATTGTTCCACTGTTGTAGCCATCTTACCATCAGGAAGTTTTTCCTGACATTCTGGCAAAATCTAGGGAGCTGCAACTTATTCAGGTCCTAGTTTCTGCAGTCATGGAAAATAGTTCTTGACCACCTTCCCTTTATGCACCTGAATGTGATCCAATAATATTGGGTGGGGGAGGCTTTCATCTTTGCAAATTGTTTTATTCCTCTGTGGAAAGCGTTCAAAAATTGGTACAGCAGAGAAATGCTCCTTTTTATTCACCCAAAGGAACAGGTGGAAGACAGAGACGATCTGTGGTTAGCCCTCTAGCAGGTAGAATGGAAGACACCGCCCACTCTGGCTCCCTGGGAAGCCAAGATATTATATTCTTTCACAGCCTTCTCAGTTTGCAGGACCATCACGTCAATCCCGTGCTTCTTAAGATACTCCACTGTAGCCGACGGCACCTTGAAAAAGGAAGAAAAGAAAGTCTGTGACAAAGAAGCAATTTTATTTATTAAAATAATATTAACCCTCTTTTACATCTATATCAGAGCCTCAAAAAGATTAACAACTGATCAAAGGAAGAGTTCCAGAGCAACAGGGCATAAGAACATGAAAATAACCCTACTGGATCAGGTCAACTGTTGGAGTTTCAAAATTCTGTTGTTATACCCTATAACAACAGAGTTTCAGTAGTTCATGTGGAGCCTGTTTCCTGATCTGGTCTACCTTGAAGGGCTGACATGAGTCTTGGAAGCCAGACAGAGATTCTCTCTCTCTCTCTCTCTCTCTCTCTCTCTCTCTCCCCCCTCTAATACTAAAGAGAAAAGAGGTGGAGAAATCTTGATTTTTTTCCTCACTTCCTCCTCTCTATTCATGCTAAGCTGATGATTACACAGTCATTGGATTCTTCCTTCAAGACCATCTCAATGCTCCTCCACACCAAAGTCCAACTTAGTCCAGCACTTTTTCTCCCAGTGGCTAATCAGATGCCTCTGTTATGCTCCCAAGGTGATGGAGACACCCTCGTTCTTTCCTTCCCCTGCAACCGGTACCCAAAAATATCTGCAACCAACCAGAGGTCCCATCAAGACTGATGGCCCTTAGCAGAGCTCTTTTCCATTAATTTAACTACTGTAATCCCCTCTGAAAGCCGTCCACGTGATTGGCCATAACCATATCTTGGAACGTACAGGTAGTCCTTGCCTTTCAACCATTTGTTCAGTGACAGTTTGAAGTTATGACGGTGCCGAACAAGTGGTTAAGACTGATCCTTAAAGTTATGGCTGTCCCAGCACCCCTGTGGCCACGTGATTGGATCTGAGCACTTGGCAACCGGCTCACACTTAGGAGTGGTTGCCAAGCACCCTGTGATTACATGATTGCCATTTGCAACCTTCCCTGCCAGCTTTCCCAGAAAGTCAATGAGGAAGCCAGCAGGGAGGGTCACAAGTTGCTGGGGTAAGTCTCTCCCACCCATATACCCCAACCTCTCTGTGCTCATGCCGCACCAGCCACTCGTGCATCCCCACACACCCTCCCCAACCCTTCCCGTGCCTCCCTTGCACCCTCATGCACCCCCTTGCACCTTTTCCTCCCCTTGCTGCGCCTCCCTTGAACCCTTGCAACTCTCACGCACCCTCCCCAACCCAACCGCACCTCCCTTGTACCCTTGTGCACCCCCTTGCTCCCTCCCTCACCCGGCAATGGCCACTTACCTGCCTGCCAACCTGGGACTTGAAACTTCCTGCCGGCTTCCCTACTGATTTCGGTTATGGGAAGCTGGCCAGAAGTTGCCTTGCCTAACAACCATGGAATTCAATTAACGATGGCAAACAGGACTGCAGGGATTACTGTCGCTAAGCGATGCAGTTGCGCTTTACAACTGCATCGCTTAGCAACAGAAATTCTGGTCCCAGTTGTCATAAGTCGAGGACTACCTGTATTCCGAGCTGCTTATGTGCTTGTGAGGGCATACAAGTGAGCTTATTGTATTATCTGACCAGCTAAAGTTGCCAGTGCAATCTTGGGCTGTATTAACAGAAGCATTGTGTCCAGATCGCAGGAAATAATAGCCCCATTGTACCAATTCTGGATCCAGGTCTGAGCACTGGGCTTTCAAAGGGATATGTGGAAGCTGGAGCAGGTTCAGAGGAGAACTACTGAGATGTTTAGCGGCTTCCTGCAGTTAAACTGAACAACTGCTACGCACTCTCAAATCATCCATTCCACAATTCCAAGATTTACCACTCCCCAGGCTGAGAAACAGACTGGAATCGCAAATCCTGGCTTGGCATTGGAACGCAGATAGGATGAACCCGATCTCTTGGGCTACAGAATTCCAGAGGTGTTGCACCACCGTGGAGAAGGCTTTATTCACTTCACAAAGGCTGTCAACGGCAGCCGAGAAAAGCAGATTCCCATTAGTTAGGTTGATTGCAATGAAAGGGGTTGGGTTCCAGACTGTTAGAAACGGGGTATGTGCATATCAGACCTAATTTATCAGGGAGTACATTTCAGGCAGGGCCCCCTTGATGCCTTTGATCCTGTCCCATGACTTGTGGGGAGGCTGCTACCCATTCAGAAGATACAAAAGGAATGTCCAGCTGTTCTTGTTTTGCAGTATTTTGGAAATGTCCGTCCCCACTTTTGACTCAAAGAATTCCCTTACAAATGCTTCACCCGGGGACAAAATGCTGAACCCAACCTCCATCAGGTTCTCCCAGGTGGGCGAAGGCAACAGGAAAAGCCATTATTTCCTCTACCGTTCCTCTCTCAACGTTCTCCCACCATCCAAACCAGTGTTTTTCGAACTTGGCAACTTTTAAGATGGGTGGACTCCAACTCCCAGAATCCCCCAGCCAACTGATCTAAAGCTTTGATGAATAAATATTGCATTCTCACTTTGCTGCCCTAGCGTGCAACCAGATCCCTGCTCTTTAAATAGCTCGTGGTTCAGTTCACCTGACCAAGCCTACCTGCAAGGCCTCGCTCATGCCACGACCTATCACTAGCGTTTTGACACCCTTCTGAAGAACCTCTTCCACATCTGCAGGCTGAACACCAGGGACATGCTGTGTTGGGAACAAGGGGGGGAAAGGTTAGTGGCAGATGCTTTTGCTGTGCCAGAAAAACAATATGTAATTCAACAGAATTGGGGGACCCGATATTGAGAACTGGCACCCTTCAAGGACCGGCTTTGAGCTGCATTGCTTCAGCAACTGCCTGGTTCCTTCTCCTGTTGCAGATGCACACAAATTCCCAGAGCCTCTTTTATATTCCCTTCACCTGCAGCTAAACCTGCTCAAACTTTCCCCTCGTTCCATAGCAGAGGCTATCAAAACGTCTCACTGGGTGAGCGTGTCTCAGACTTCAAGGTTGTATGATGAGCGTTTTCCCCAAAGGCCGCCATGGGTGTCAGGGAAGGTACGTTCCAGCTGCAAAATTCCCACTTCAAAAAAAGGCAAACTAGTGAGGTTACTTCCTTCCATTCCCCCCACTCCCAGGTACATCCCACCATTCTGAGTTACTCTTCTGATTTTCTGCACAGGTGGACCTTCTTCCAAGCCATGAAGCTTGGAATTGCATCTACTCATCATTATTTTCAAAGAACGCTAGTGTGCGCTACAGAGATCTGCAAAAGACGATGCTCGTGGCTGGTGTTTTCATTTTCTGCCGGTTTCATAAGAGTGGTGGCCACACCGGTACATTGCTAGCCTTGGGCTTCAGGATTCTGCTAATATTAATATTCCAGTTCCATTTGGCTTCCAGTAGGCACCACTAGTGTCTGAGCACTTATCTGCATTAGAGTTTTCCAATCTTACGGGCAATTTTCAGGAGCATTTGCAGTATGTGTGTGTGCGTGCACGCAAAAAGTGCAATACCACCATTTTGACTTTTTAACACACGCACACCCCCACGGACACCCCAGGTAACTTTCTCTACTTAACCATATTCCCAACCCCTTTTGTAGAATCCGATTCCCTGAACCAGAAGAGCATATGTACTTTTCTGGCACGGCTTCCCGCTGATCAAATTAACCTCTTCTGGTAAATGACAGCTTGTTGAGGCAGATGTGACTTTTTTTAGCCTGTTTGTTTCCCTTCTGTGCTCTGATTGCAATTTGTAACTAAATTTGCATAATAAAGTGCTGCGGGCTTCCTGCTCAGACGGGCTCTGTACATGGCATGCAGCTGTTCCCAGTAGACCTCGTGGCTATTTTTAATAAGCTTTTAAAATCATTCCACAGCCTAAAAGAACCAGTGCAGTCCAGTATAGTGGTTGGAACATTGGAGTAGGACCAAGAAGATGCACGGACCGCTCAGCCCAACCTCCCTCACAGGGCTGTTGTTATGAGGAATAAAATTGGAGGGACCCCTATATAAACTAGGGCTGTGCAAACACTTGGATGCGATCTCCAAAAAGTACTTTGGAGTGCACGTATAATTCCAGTCTATAACAACCTCGGGGGATTACTCGATTCCAGAAAAACGCACACCGCCTTGAACACCTGGAAGACAGGTGAGACAGGTAACGAATAAAAATAATAAAAACTCCCGCAATCTGATGCTCTGCAGCTGGGGATGTCAGGGCCCAACTCTCAAACCTGCCAGTCCACCAGTGAGAACACAGGAGCCGTGCGCGCACTTCCCCGTGGAGAGCTGAACCCTGAAGTTCTGCAAGTTTGCACGAGATGCTGAACTGCAAACGTGCCACAGGGGGGTGGGCTCACAGGGTTCGAGGGGGCTGAAATGGGATGGGCCAGCTGGTATTTCAACGTGCCATGTGAATGTAGCCTGGAATTTATGCATAGCAGAAGTAGCACAGCATCTTCCTTGCATCAGGAAGCCATGTGGTAATTCAATTTTTTCTTAATATATACCAGGGTTTCTCAACCTCGGGAACTTTAAGATGTGTGGACTTCAACTCCCAGAATTCCCCAGCCAGCATGGGAATTCTGGGAGTTGAAATCCACACATCTTAAAGCTCCCGAGGTTGAGAAACCCTGTTATATACTAAATGTGGCATCTTCTAATGAAGAGTGCCACTGATGTTCAGGGGAGAGTCAAAAGAGTCAAGATGGCAGCCACGATCATGGGATCAAATCCACATTCTGTTTTTGGATGGCCCTGCAGAGTGCAGATATTTAATTTTAACTAAGTGGCGCGGGTGGGTGGGAGGGGAGCAACCGTTCTGATAAAGAAGCCATCTATGTCAGGGCCACGCACAAGGAAAATGTTATTCTCCTGCATCTAAAAACTTTGCCTAGCTTTAAGGGGGCCCCCGCTACAATTCCACCCCTGGAATTCCAATTCCGGTTGTAATTCTACAATTCCAAAGGAGGAAATGCGACTGTAGTTGATTGCAATTTCAACAGTCGGCTGGGAAGGCTGCGACAGGGCTGTGGTAGCTAATGTTCCACGGAGAAAAGGAAGTGAACACAAACGTTGAGGCCTAGTGCCTCTTAGCAAGCTATTGGGGGTATTGCAGGGTGGGGGGAGGAGAAGAGAAAAAGGGACAGGATCCCTCTCTCCACCCCAATTCGCAGAGATACGGACATAGTTTAGCTCAGCCTGCAAGTATCCAAGTTTATAGGCTTCTGCGGTGGTGGTGATGAGAACCTGACATCACGCATGTCACGGTATCACCACGCAAAGGATGCAAAGGATGTCCATTGCACAATGTTGTTGCCACACACAGGATGCTATTGTTGCAGCCTCTCCTGGACGCCTCTGATGCTGTACAGCCACAGTCGGAGACCCTTTTTAAAGCATACATATTGTCCAGCCTGCAGGGGAATGGCATTGATCTTCCTGCAGGAGGCCGGATTCATTGTTTTGGCCCAGATCTTGCAAGTTGCTTTCAGGATCTGGGCGAGCCTTTAAGGCAATAATAGCAGAACTGCCTCTTCCCCCACAAGACGTCTTACGGCCTCAAACCGGTCCTGCCAATTGCTGGGTTTGACGCCGGCAGCTGATCCTCTCCTTTTCTGAAGCAGACTCAGACTGTGAAGCCTTTAGGACTTGAGACTGGGCATAAAGCATCTTTTTACACACTGGTTTTAGTATTTTTTTTAATGCTGCAAGTCCCCCCCCCCAAGGTTCTCTAATTTCACAAACATGCATTTTTAAATCAAGAAAAGGCCTGGCATAGGCATGTTCAGCAGCAGAGGCCTTCCATCTCTACAGTACTTTTTGCCATCCCAACAGCTGTCGGCTGCCAAATTTTACCAGCGCAATCCTACAAGATGCATTTCCCCCACCTCTGGAGCAGGCCTGAACCTTCCTCAACTCCCACCCCCCAAAAAATCGCCTTGGATATCTTAAAGCATGGCAGTTGTCGTTTCGTTCCCAGTTCTGGCGTGCATCCTTTCGCTGCGCTTGTCCCAAAAAGCAATGGGGAAGAAGAAAAGGTGATTTAAATGCAATAAATCCCAAAGCTATTCTCGATGTTCAGACAAGGGGATGGGGGGTGCAAGAAGACGGCCCTGAGCCTCTGTTTTATTTTGTTCTGCTGAAAGGAAGGGGTGGTTGGGGCCGGGGAAGCAGAGTAGGAAGGAAGCGGGCGTCAAACTCTGGAAAAGTATTTCTTTTAATCCAAATAGGTCAGTACTGTTCACGAGAAGCAACATCAAACTGATTCCCTCCTCGCCAATGATAAAGAACAGTCCCAAAGGCAGTGTTCAACGAGGGCCAGCAGATCTTCGCAGTTCGAGGCAGTTTGAACACTTTTAAACAATTAGAATTTTAAGCACTCAATGAAGGAGCAAGGCGTACAATCGGGAGGTGCTGCATGGTTTTGTGCAAAATAACCAGAAATAGTTGGTATGTAAGGAGGGGAGGTGCCTTAGTCACTTGGTCAAAAAAGGGTGCGGTATGAAACAAGACCGCAAATGGGCGTCAATAAAATAAATAAATTTCCCAAAAAGTTGCATAAAGAGGAAGCCCCAAGGATGCACTTCAACCAGGGTGCCATTTGGATGAAGGCTGGCATGTCTGAGATGAGGGTCATCTTTCCAGCTTTGGTGGAAATGCACCTTGGCTGATCTCAAAAAGATAAGCAGGGTTGGCATCGTCGGCCTTGGATGGGAGGCCACCAAGAAGCTCCTGGACAAAAACTAGAGTGCAGAGTAAAAAAAGAAAATCCTAAGGCAATGGCAGAACACTTCCAGATATTTGCTAAAGAAAACTACTTCAACTCACAGGGTTGTTGTTGTGGGGAAAATAGGAGGCAGGAGTATGAGGTATGTTCACCACCTTGAGAGAGATAGAGATAGAGATAGAGATAGAGATAGAGATAGAGATAGAGATAGAGATAGAGATAGAGATAGAGACACAGAGACATAGAGATAGAGAAGGAAGGAAGGAAGGAAGGAAGGAAGGAAGGAAGGAAGGAAGGAAGGAAGG